GCAGCCCCTTCCCTGCCACCACGGACGCTGTTGTTGGCCCTGGCCGGTGTGGAGATGTGGGAGAGGCTGTGGGAGCAGCACCAAGGGGTTAACAGGTCCCCGGGGGGGAGCCTGGAGGGACTCACACCCTCTGCCCAATCCCGGGAATCCCTCTGTGCTAATTGAGCACTAAGCAGATCAAAGGCTCCAATCAGGGAATCAACACCCCCCTGGCCTCATCTCCCCCAGCCCGGGCTGCCCTTTGTCTGGAGAAGGAGAGCAGGGCAATGTGGCTTCTCCCCAGCCTGGCCTGGGCTCTCCTGGGCCCCGTCCTGGGGTCGGAGCTGAGCGTGCAGGAGAGTTTGTTGTTGAAATCCTTGGGCCTGAGCACCAAGCCCAGCCCGAAAACCCCCACCCCGGTGCCTCCCCTGCTCTGGAGGATCTTCCAGAAGAGAAAGACGCCTCCCCCGATGGACAAAGACCCCCTGGATGCCTGTAGGGTGGAGGAATTTAATGTCCCCGGGAACATCATCCGAGTCCTCGCTGACCAAGGTACAGACACGCTTTGGGGGCTTTTGGAGGTCCCTCATTTTCTGGGATGAGAGGCTTTGCCTCATTCCTTCCTTTCCCTGAGGCTGAGGGAGGACAGGGCAGTGCCCAGAGCTGGTTTCCAGGAGAGATCCCTGCAGTGTGACCTCGGGTCCCTGGGGATGTTGCAGATGGGTTATTCTCAGTTTAAGGGTGAGGGTGTGGGGCTGTCTTGGAACCCCCTAAAGCCACCCAGAGGTGCTGGTTGGATCCCAGGTGACTGGATTGGCCTGTTGGGCTCACAGTGGTGGAGGTGACTCCTCACCTGGGCAGGGGGATGTGGCTCCATGGCCGGGTCTGTGGGTGCAGGGTCGGGCAGGGATGGGATGCTCGGCCCTTTGGCTGTGTCCCCCCTTCTCCTCACTGATCCCACACCTCTGGCTGACCCCACAGCACCTCTGGCTGACCCCACAGCTCATCTGGCTGACCCCACAGCACCTCTGGCTGCTCAGCCCCTCAGAGCCCTTCTCAGTTCACTGGGAACTGTTCGGTCCCTTTGAGGCCTCAAGGCAGTACAGGACTCCTTTCTCTTGTGGTTCCATTTTTCCCTGTGGAAACCAAAGGCTGGATAAACCATTCAGCTCCCTGATTTGCTGCTGTTTTGCCCTCCTTTCCCCTCCATCCCAAACCCCTCCCTGTCCTGGGGGAGGTGGTTGCAGCTGGGGAAAAATAACACCTTGAGGTGTGAAGTAGCACCCAGAGGAGATGCTGGAGTGGCAGCAGCATCCCAGTGCCACAGGCTGGAGCCCAGTTTGTGCCCCCAGCCCTTCCTGAAGGCCATGCCAGGGGGCTGATCGCCCTCCCTGCAGCCTCATCAGCTCCATCCAGCCCTACCAGCCCCATCTTCCTCTTACTGTGCCCAAACTGGAGCCCTGGGAGGCCGATCCTGCCCAGCCCGAGGGTCCAACCGCCCCCACCTCTATTTCTCCCTCTCTGTCAGGCCCCTTCATGCCCGAGGAGCAGCCCCAGGGGTGGCTGTGCCTGCGGAAGCGCCTCTTCTTCAACCTCTCCGTGCTGGAGGAGGGCGAGCGCTTGACCATGGCCCAGCTGGAGATCAAATTCCACCACAATTCCTACCACCCCTCCCGCCAGGGGCAGGTCTTTGAGCTGAGGCTCTTCCAGCCCCCCGAGGTGTTCCCCCCGGGGGTCCCCGAGCCCGGGCAGAGCCCGCTGGTGGAACAGTCCTTCGCTCAGCTGCACAAGTCCCTCCTCTTCAACCTGAGCTCGGCGGCGAAGGAGCGGAGGACGCGCGGCAGGAACTTGGGATTGATCCTGGAGATCTCGGCGGGCACCATCGGGGCTTTGGGAGCCCCGCGGGGCCTCTGCTCCGGCATCGACTCCTTCCTGGACACCTCCCTGCTGGTGGTGACCCTGAGCCAGCAGTGCCAGGCCCCCCGGAGGAGGAGGAGGAGGAGGAGGAGGAGTGCGGGGCTGCCCCCGCTCACCCCCAGCAACCTGTGCAGGGCGCGGCGGCTCCACATCAGCTTCAGCGACGTGGGCTGGGAGAACTGGATCATCGCCCCCCAGGGCTACCTGGCCAACTACTGCCGGGGGGAGTGTCCCTTCCCCCTGACGGCCGAGCTCAACAGCACCAACCACGCCGTCCTGCAGACCATGGTGCACTCGCTGGACCCCCAGGGCACCCCCCAGCCCTGCTGCGTCCCCGTCAGGCTCTCCCCCATCTCCATCCTCTACTACGACAACAGCGACAACGTGGTGCTGCGGCACTACGAGGACATGGTGGTGGACGAGTGTGGCTGCAGGTAGAGGGGGAGCAGGGGGGGGTGGCTGCC